AGCATGATCGCCAATGTCTGTTTCGTATCTGGCATTTGAAATAACAGAAAACAGTCTAGATTTATAATAATCAACTGATTTGTTCTGATCGTTTAAAGTAAAGCTTGTGCTCAAACTGAACTTAACGTGCCTCTCTTGTGCCGGTTCCTTCCTCTTTCCAACTGAGACTCTCGATTGGTCACTCTGACTAGCTGAGCATTGAATTTTTAAAATACAGGATGCAGAAACTTGGAATTCCAGCTTTCCTTTCTACTTGTTCCTCCTTACGTGTATGTGCATGTGTGTGTGTGTGTGTGTGTGTGTGTGTGTGTGTGTGTGTGTGTGTGTGTTTGTTCTTTGGGGGTTTTTTGTTTTAACTCTCAGCTCGGAAAGAAGAAGAGTGGTATTGGGTAAAGGGAGAGGTACATTTCTTTTGTGCATGACCTGTTGTTAACGCTTTTGAGACAAACCTATAACACTAGAAACCGTGTTCCTCACAACAACAACAACAACAACAACAACAACAACAACAACAACAACAACAACCGAAAAACCTGTTGGTCAATGGTTTTTCCGGTGAGTTGTGGACAGTGGAGATAACAGAAGCATGACTGAATAACTGTGCCGTATTGGCACCGTAGGTTTCTCTAGATTTCGTTGTGCGCAACTCACCGACAAAATTAATTGTAGGTCAGAAGTTCAGTCGCAGTGCGTGCGGTTTTGAAGAAGGACTCCATGTAAACCAGAACTCCCATCGTGCCGGGCTCAGAACTAAGTCGCGAACATTAACATGAGTGGCATCGGAGTGAAATCAGGTGTCGCCAAAATAATTAAATTAAAGAAACCGGTATTTTTCCGCCAAAGGGCCATATCTAGATCTATTATATTTCCTCAACAGCTTTTATTTCCATTTCAGAGTGGATTTTCCTGAAAACGTTGATCATGGCCACAAAAATAAGTAAAATTGCACGTTTCATGGACATTCAAGGTTTCAAAGTTACCAAAGTTTGACGGACATTTTCAAGCAAATTGTACATTTGACATCAGGCAACCCCCACCCCCTACAGTATCAAATACCTCGACTTCCATTTAAACGAGATTAGTATTTTTTTCAACAAAAGCAAACAAAAAAGAATAAGCTTTAGTAAATGCCAATAATTCCATATGCCCTAATTTTGACGAGCATCTGATTTCATGATGTCGGGAGACATATGCGACGTCTAAAACGGAAAGCTCTGGCGTCGGACGCGAATTACTTCCGTCTCGAGAAAGAAACCACCGTGTTGTTCGGTTCCCCCAAGGTCTAGGCTATGTCCGTGATCTAGTGACTATCTTAATTAAAAGTAGCAAACGTTTTTATGCGTCTCTTTAAGACCGATCACTTAGTAACCTCCGAAAAAAATGTAAAAGACCTCTAACTTAAAAAAAAAAATTACTAATCAAATAAGAATATTATTATTAATTTTCGATGCTTGCGACTCTTATCGTAGTCTCACCACTTGTCTTTTCCCTGTTAAAACAGTCTATAAACTTTTGACTCACAATGTTGTTCCACACAGATTGCCCGTATTGTCATGTCACCGAAAGAAGAAATGTTTTGTGTGCATGTGTGTGTGTGTGTGTGTGTGTGTGTGTGTGTGTGTGTGTGTGAGAGAGAGAGAGAGAGAGAGAGAGAGAGAGAGAGAGAGAGAGAGAGAGTGTGTGTGTATGTGCGTGTGTGAGTGTTTGTGTGTGTGTGTGTGTGTTTGTGTGTGTGAGTGTTTGTGTGTGTGTGTGTGTGTGTGTGTGTGTGTGTGTGTGTGTGTGTGTGTGTGATTAATTTCGGGTACGTCGAGCAACGTTGGGGCAAATCTTTCAATTAATTATATGTCGAATTCAGACCCTAAGTGGACGCTAGCATTTACCTGGAGATGACCATAGATCCTCTTTCAAGAAGTAATTCTACACGGTATACACAGCTGTATTTCAAATAGTATTTCTGCTTTTGCTTTTTAGTTTTGGTAATTTCTCATCTTGTTTGTGGCACCATTGTGTCCAGCTTGACCCTTAAGGCCGTTCTTCCATCGGCCACTGTGGAAGTGGAATAACACCCCTTTGAGGGGAGTCGAGTAGGGGCCTATTGCCTAGGAGTGACAGTGTTTTTGGCATTTCTTGCAGACCACATTTGTTGACAGACCGGAGTATGACGTTATAGCTTCGTTGTCGCACGCGGAAGACATGAGTTCAATTATCTGGAAGAAATTTTGTTGGGTTTTTTTCAATCGAGTATCTTGGCTTTTCAGCTGGAACTTTGTATCCTTCTTCGTCTGGGTTTTACCTGCCTCCGAAATGGACTATAATTATGTCGATGAGGGCGTAAAACAATTTCTTCCTTTTTTAAAATGCTGACGGATATTTATGGCGCCAGAGCTGCACCTCTGCAAACGCCTCTAACCGGTGGGACAGAAGATTATTCGTTGCGTTGGCTCCTAGTGATAGAGGGGAATAAGTGGTTGTGGTCTACAACCACCTGGACCTTAATTACAGCCGCTGGGTCAGTTTGATAAACAAAAGGCTTATTTATTGCGTTCGGCTTCTCGTGTGCACTCCGCGACTTAACTCTTAATCCTCTAATCTTGCTGCAGATTTTCTCCGTTAAGAAACACTTTCTTTAAGCTACCCCTTCACAGACAGACTATTCCAAAATGCTTTACTGTTGCACGATATTTACTAATAGTTCACACTGGAAAAGGGAACAAAAGAGTGAATTTCGTTTTCTTATTTTTAAGGGGAATTCCACGAGAAGGAGAAGGGATAGTAGCTGGCCAAGTGATTAGGAAGAGCGGTAGATTCCGTTGGTAAATTGTTTTGCACTGCTTCAGGATTAGCGGCATTCAGTTGTTCGTGAAAAACACCAGCAGCTAAAGAAAAATAAGAGTAACGTTTAATCTGACAGAAGCTGATTGCTTTACTTGAAGACCAGTATTTGGCTATCGTGTGATGATAAGGCAACGGTTAGCTTTCAGTGTGGATGACTGTTAGGTATGAGGTCTGGCTTCCAGAACAAACAAAAACATGTACTTTTTCGCTAATCAAGAGAGTCGCATATTATCCTCTTTTAGTACCTTTTGTTAAATAGACGCACAGGAACCACTGAGCATATAGCTTATAGAAATAGTAGAGCTACTTACAGAATATGGAGAAGCTAAGGTGGGAAAAAGTGCCATATGTGCGTAGGAAAAAAAGCTTTCATAAGAAGTACCAAACATCTGAGAACAAGGAGTGAGGGGTGTGGACTGGTTAAGGGAAGGGTGAGATTAACATCTTATGGGATTGATTTCGGTAAATGCACCACGCACGCAGCGCTTCCATTCACGTTCGCAGGTTGGTCACTGTAGGCACATACAGCATATTCATTACATGCGGGTCATTGAGGGTGGGAGTCGCCTGAGAAAATGGGCGGGGACTCAGGGATATTGAAAAACAAATCACGAAAACAGTACGTAATCGCAGGTCGCCGCCGACTCTATATAAAGCAGTTTGGAAGAAAACTAAGTGGCATATAATATGAATGCTTTGATCACTGAACGGACATCACAGATAATAGAACTATAGCACTTGGTCTCAGTTGCAAGTAAGCTGAACATCTTAGTCGTTGTTGGGTGTCTCAAAAGGATTTAATATCAAACGTGCACGCTCTTAGATTAACGTTTGGAGGTTGTTTCGTCCTTGGATATCATTTTGTTTATCTGTATATTTTTCAGATATCTTATAGTCTCACAATTTCCGTATTTTCCCCTACCCTCCTCCTTCATACCTGTTCATTTATACTCATCAAGAATATTCCTTCTTTTTTTTCGCAGCGACATTCACTTGTTTGATATAATTTCTTTCTTTTTTTTTTTTTGGTTCTTTTTTTACCAATGTCTCACACATTTTTTTTTCAAAAGAAACACGCTATTCAATAGTTTTTCAATTCTCTTCGAAAATCGGCTTCAAAATTCACTGTATTATGTACTTCGAAATTGAATAAAATAGGATTTCCATCTACATAAGTGAAACATTGTCTTTGTTTTCTATTGCAGATTGCTTCGTAGTTAACTGCCAAAATGCCAAAAGCGTTTTTGCCTAAAAGGCGCTGGGCTATGTCCAGGAAAGAAGGAAGAAACAGGAGGAGGCCTGATGACCTAGAGCATGAAGCTGAGCAGCTTGTGCCAACAAAACACTTAGCCCTCAGCGACGGGCTCCGGTTGGAAGTCCAGACACAGGCCGAACACGATCTCAGACTTCGTCTGCACCTCCCAGATGACAGCACAGACCACCAGACGGTGAGAACAACGCTCGTGCCGGGGAGAGAAGAGATTCCATGTCAGGAGGAATTGTGGGACCTCAAAGTTTCCGAGTCCCTTGTGCAGGGCACGGACTTGAATAACAACTGTAACGGAAACGGTAACAACCACAGCATTAGTTGCAACAAAGACAATAACAGCGCTTGCTGTCAGAGCGACAGCGAAAACAGCGGCAACATTGCCGCAAGAAGTGACAGTAACACAAAGTTCAATGTCAATGACATTAGCCCGAGCCACAGTTATACAGATGTCATGAACAGAGACCATTCTCGTTTGTCCAGTGATGCCTTCCTCTCGATGTTCTCAACCCTTCATAACAACGTCCATCCCTCTGTCGTGTCCGCCAGTGTGTGCGATAAGAGATCTGCCAAGTGCTACAGCAGTGTAAGTAGTGCAGACTCATGCAAGAGCTGTGATGATGATGATGTTTACACTCAAAAAGAAATGGCTCAACAATTCTTCAATTCTTTTTGTTCCAAAAATTATCGCCCTACGTTTCTGATCCCACCTGTTGGCCCACTCCAGTTCGAATTGCGACAAAATTCTGGCATTTTGAGCCCCGAAACTCATCATTGTGAACAAAATCATGAAGCCAGAAGGCTATACTCTAACAGTACCAGTCCTGAAATTGGCTACCCTGTGGAGAAAGACTGCACGAAAAGACACGACTCTCACTTTACTGGTGGGAGCGAGCTCAACGCTCAAGGGTTTGAAACCAGGGATTCACTAAATGCAGTGACGAGATGTAGAACAGAGAACTCTTCGGTTGTCTCCGATAGGCTTCAGTGTGTGGAGGAGCGGACAGAAACGACATGTATTTCGAGAAGATGTGAAAGTGTACAAGACATTAGAGAAAATCCTGTGAACGACGGAGAGAGGTTGGGGGAATCCGACGTTTTGAATCCTTCACAGGTTCGTCGAGAGGCTACTAATGATCATGTGACGGGTAAGCCTTGTTTTTTTTAATCTGTTCATGCTGTACCATTAAGTTTGTTTGGATTTTTATTCGAAATGGGTAGGAGAAGGTATACTCACGGAACAATCTTTTTGATAACGGACCAAAGCAAGTTTGCAACCAAAACTTCATAATTTCGTTTATATTTCTCATCTCATCAATTTAAGACATGGGAATGTGTTTCTTTGAATAGTTCTAGATTTACACTTTAACCAAAACTTCACCTCTCTTCTTGTCACATTGAAAGCCCTCTTGGCAATGGTAAGCGCTGAAAATCTTTCATAATGAAGAAATATGTTGGATAATTGACGGGTGTTCTGATGTGGTTTGCTTTTTCTTTCCTACCAAACATCTATCACCATTATCTCTCCTCATCCTTTTCACTGTATGTTAATCTTTAGAAACGCCTCTAATATCCGGCAGTTATGTGACCTACTTAATGTATTGCAAATGTCTTAAAACTCTAACTAGATCTAGAACTAAACTAAACTAGAAGAAATAAGAGACTGAGGGAAGGGGAATATAAGATGGTGGAACTGTGTCGCCCCCTTTTCGGAGGTTTTTCTTTATTTAAATGATCGTTCCTGTGCCAAATAAATTTTAATAGCTAACTTCTCCTACTAAAGCGGGAGTCGTGTTTTTATATTTTACTATTAGCCATCAGTCTTAACAATATCCTTCTCTTCTCGCCTTGGAGTGCTCGTCCAACGGAAAACCGACTTAGCGTTAAATTAGACGAAGAAATAACATACACAGTCTAGGGACACTAGGACTGAGACAAGAAGATTCAGCCATCCCATAAAAAACGTCTCTTTTCATTCTTAAGCGACCTCAAAGCTTCATTCACCCTTGCAAGTGGAGAATGTCAATGGAAACATTATCTATGCTTACAAACAGTCACCCGATACGTCACTTCCTCCGGTGTCAAGCAATCTCGCGCATGCGCTGTGGGGAAGAACGCCACGTTTAGTTAGCGGTGTTAGAGAGACCTTGTAGGCCACTTTGTTATATGATCTCCAAGTTAGCGAGGGTTTCATTTCAGTGACACCACGAAAAGAGATCTGAGATTGGGATAAGAACAGAGTCGTGAGAGAAGCGACCAGCGTCACGAAAGGGCGGGACACCCAACAGACTTTCAGAATGCTCGGTTTACATGTGTTTAGATGGAGAATAATGGTAGAGAGGGCAGCCTAAACTAAATTTCCTGGTTGAAAGCAAAGACAAGACATTAGAACCAACGTGATGTAAGGAAAATTTTGCTAAACATTGAGACGATATTCTCAATTTATACCATACGTTATGAATAGGTGCAATTTCAACTTAAGCACAAATATCCTTGCCTCAATGATCCACTTCGGGTGTTAGGGGAAAAAACGGACCCCCCCCCCCCCAAAAGCTTAAATAATCAGTGTACAAAACAAGTTTAAGGTTTGCCTGTGGAGCCGTCTCGCTCCCCAGAGTTTAGGTTGCGGTTAGAGAATATCTCTCTCTCTTTCTCTCTCTCTCTCTCTCTCTCTCTCTCTCTCTCTCTCTCTCTCTCTCTCTCTCTCTCTCTCTCTCTCTTTCTCTCCCCCCTCTCTCTCTTTCTCTCTCGCGCTCTCTCTCCCTTTCTCTTTTTCTCTCTTCCTCCATCTCTTTGCGTGCGTGTATGTGTATGTTAAAGTGCATGTGAATGTGTATGTGTACATGTTTAGGTGTATATCTGTCTGCCTGTCCATCTGTTCTTCTATATCCTCTGTGCTCCTTGTAAACGTCTACGAAAGAAAGATTTTACGACTGGTGCATAGAGTTGCTTTGGGTTTTATGTCGCGTACAGGCATAGTGTTCAAACCTATACAAAAGGTACAAAATGACCCTACTGCCCTTAGAAAGACATGACATTCCACAATAATATGGCCTCCGTTTATATCAAACAAACTTACGTCATTTGGCGTTTTCTTGAATCTAGGCCCGTTAATATGCCCTCTTCAATACAAATGCGAACTCTTGTGGATATTGAATTATTATTGTGTCCTCAAGATTTTAACGACATACCATTAAAGACAGGAAAACAGCCATATAATTGCAACTATAATAGAAACAGCAAACGCATACAGTAGGAATGGGCTCTTGTGGATCTCTTAAATGTTAATACCCAATACATCCTTCCATCTGAAGGAGATAGGAAAAAAGGGTTCCTTACGAGTTCGATAAGGTTTTCTTCTATTGCATTATTGAGTTCGATGAGGTTTTCTTTTCTTGCATTCTTACGACCTCGCTCTTTGGGTGATAATCGTACATGTATAAAGCACATACATGGGTATTTTAAGAAACTGTTGTGAATCATGAAGAGGGTTGTCTCTTATTTAGATACCCAGTCATATTTGTGAACGCTTTTCATTCGCGACAGGGGACAAAACGGATGACAAGTAAAATTAGTAATGCTAGATGCTCAGTGAATCTGTTTTATTTGGTTTCTACTCCTTGTCTTGGATTTATGACATTAATATTGACGGGGAAGGGACGTGGAGAGTTGTTCTTGTATAAAACATCGCTTTAAAACATGCACGGGTGAGAAGTAGGCAGGCAAGAGAGGAGCAGTTACACACACAAGTAGGTCCCTCTTATGGGAGATCAGTTCTTTCTCTTTTCGTATCTCGCACAAGTAGGTTCCTCTTACGGGAGATCAGTTCTTTTTCTTTTCGTATCTCGCACAAGTAGGTTCCTCTTTACTGAAGATCAGTTCTTTTTCTTTTCGTATCTATATTATTCCACTCTTTGCCTCGTACGTATAATATGTTTGCTTAATATGTTCTTCAAACACAGATGCGCTGATGTTATAATCTAATTCTTTTGTGACTCCAGTGTAACTGTGAATATGCAGAAAGCAGGGCTTAATGTCTGGCCAACACAAACATGGGAGTGTCTCTGAAAATCTAACAAGTTATTTTAAAAAAGGCAGAGCTTTCCTTAGAATTAAGAAAACGACAGAAAACACAACGGTTGTGGATGAGCTGTCCAGCCCTTCTGAAGGAAATTGTTTAAGATACGATAAAGAATATAATAAATTGGGAATAACTTATTCTTTTTGCTTTGAACATAAATTAACATTGTACTTTCACCCGCGTTTGCAAAACACACACACATTCACACACACACACAAACAAACACACACACACACACACACACACACACACATACACATACAACAACAAACACACACACTCACATACAAACAAACACACACACAGACACACACAAACAAACACACAC